AGTCTCTCCCAGTCCCACCCCAGTCCCTCTCCCAGTACTCCCAGTCTCTCCCAGTCCCCCCAGTGACCCCCCCTGTCCCCCCCCAGTCGTGCGGACAGCGAGGGCCATGGCGGACGACCTGGATTTCGCCACGGGGGACGCGGGGGCCTCGGCCACCTTCCCCATGCAGTGCTCGGCGCTGCGCAAGAACGGCTTCGTGGTGCTCAAGGGGCGCCCCTGCAAGATCGTGGAGATGTCCACCTCCAAGACGGGCAAGCACGGCCACGCCAAGGTGAGCGGCCCCGGGCCATCCCCGCTCTGTCGTTGCGCAGCCCGCAGTGTGTGCTCCTGCGGCTCCCCGCTCGCCCAGCCGGCCGAGAGGGAAGGGTGTAGCGTTTCATTTGGCAGAGCGTTCCGCACCCTGCCTCTGCTTCGCTCCCTGCAGCGTCTCGTGTGTCTCTTCTGTCTGGAGTCAGCTCGAGGGCTTCCAGTAGTGTCAAGCAGGAAAGGACTGAGGACAGGGGGTTGGTTTGTTTGGTTTTTTTTTTTTTTTTTCCTTCTCCCAACTTGTTAAAAAGCTTGAACACCGATAGCGATAAAAACCTGGTTTTGTAGCAGGGGTAGAGTAAGTTCTGGAAGGGGGGCTGGTGAAGTCACTAGGGCGTGGTTGGATTGTGCTGTCACTACCCACCGAAGCACTTTTGTGTCTGCCTGCGCTAGCGGACTTTCACTATTGCAGTGCTCGACTTGGGCACTTCTGGTAAGCGCTTGTGTTCCCTTACATAATCCAGAAGAGCTCAGCGGACACTCGTTACCTCTCTGGGCCTGCTCTGGCCCTGTTTTGCTGGCTTGCCTCTCCGCTGCTTGCCTTTTTTCAGCGCTGAGTGAGGAGTACCTTCCCCCTCCGGCGTCCCAGCAGGGAAATTCAGAGGCTGCTGGCTGAGGCTGCAGTCCTGCTGCCTAAGCAGTTGGCTTACGCAGCGGTCCAGAGCTTGGACCGAGGCTGGACTCCCCCTTCGTTCGTTCAGCCACGCTTTCTGGTGGGTATGTTAGAGTTTAGAGGCAGATCTGTTACAAGCATGGACTAATTAGAGTTGTAAGGTTCTACAGTGTTTTATGATACCTGTAGGTGGGTAAAGTATTTAGGATTTGTCAAAGCTAGAGTATTCCAAGCCCTTGCCATTTTTTTTCCTTTCTCCCTCCCCTTGCTCTTTTTTTATGACTTGCTTTATTAAACAGATCCAGCTCTCTTAAATACTGAAACAGTTGTGAGAGTGAAAGGACCTGGGAAGAGCAGGCTATGAACTGGTAATCCAAGCACTAGCTCCAGTGGAAAGCTGCTGCTAGCATAGAGGGAGGTGGGAGCAGCTTTACTCTCTGTGCATGACCACCTCTTCCTTTCCCCTTAACCTTCAAGTTGTCACTGACTCTGTTGTGTTTCTCAGAACAGCTACAACTTGAAGTAAACGTTTTCTTAACCGCTGCATACTCTGAGCTCTATCTCACTGCTGTAAAACTACTGAAGGCTATGGTAGATAACAGGGGCTGATCTTCCTTCTCACGTCGTGTTTCTGTAGTGTGCTGTGAAAGGGTGTGGGAGGCCTTTTCTCGGCGCTTGGGCTGCTTTCATACTGCAAGCAAAGGGTCTAGGCAGAACCTGGTATTACATGTGATCTCCTAGAAAACTGCGTGGAACCAGAATACAGTGGCAGTGGCATCTTGCTTCTCTAGGACCAACAGTAACTGATGTTATTTTTCGTCTCTTATAGGTCCACTTGGTTGGTATTGATATCTTCACTGGTAAAAAGTATGAAGATATTTGCCCATCAACTCATAACATGGATGTTCCAAATATCAAGAGGAATGATTACCAGGTGAGTTAACAGTCCTCCCACACCTAGAGAGGCTTAATGCTCCTAATACCACACGTAAACTCTTTTCATCCCCAAACTTGCCTCTCAATAAAGCACTGTTGTCAGAGTTATTGGAACTTGCCTGTCTAGGCACGACACTGCTGAACTCGTAGCATTTACTGAATTGTTAGAACTGTCAGAGCTCACTGATGGGGAGCTGTTTACTGTACTAACAACCTCATGTTACAGTAGCAATCTTTAGAAGTGACAGCTAATAGACATAACTCAGAACTGTGTTTTTTCCAGCTCATGTTGTAAGGTCACTTCTTTCTTCTGTGTGATACTGGCATCCTCTAGAAACCTTGCAGAGGTTATCCCTGCTGCAAGTTACTATTAGTTAAAGGATAATCAAGATCTTGCTTCAAGTTAATTTGAATCTAAGCGTATCTTGTCATTTATAATTTTACCCTTACTAAGGTAGATGAATCAACAAGACAATCTTAAACTGCATCTGATGCCAATTCTAATTTGCTACAGTGCTTTCTGCTCCCTGCGTGGAAGCTGGCTTTAGTTGATCTCAAGTAATTTTGGTGTTCCTGAGCTCTGCTCTGAAATACATGTATGGAGGGAACTTGGCAGGCTTCTGTAACTTCCGTAATGCCTTCTGTGGTAGGGATAGTGAGCTCTTAAAAGCAGCACGATTCAGGTTCTGAGTTGTAACGTGTCGGCTGTCTTCCCCTTGTCTTGGGAGTAGTTCTGGTCAGGAACTGAGAGATCCATGTCGGTTGGAAAGCTGCAATTGCCTGACAAAGCCAAAGTTCAGAGTGTTAGCAGCTCTTCAGGAGAGCTGATGCCATTTGAATAAAGTGTAACTAGCCTGTCTTGGGGCTCAGACCTTCCAGGAGATTCTTACTGTTATCTTGCTGATCTTTCTCATGTCCTTGGACCCTTATTGCTACTGAAATTCTTGCTGTTTATCAGACTTGTTAGGGTTGCCTTTTAGGTTTACTGTTACGCGTTCCAGGTTCCCTAACCTGCTCTGTCAAAATAGCTGTTCCCTTAGCTCGGGCTTTCGGTTAGGCTGAAAACAGCATTTTAAAAGTGGCCCAGAGCATGGTGGATGTTCCCTAATTTATTCATTAGACTTTAATGTAAATGCTAGTATCTTGTTATACAGCTGAAGGTATAGAAGTGTACAGTTCAACCATTGTGTACTTTGTACACTTTATAAAGCAATGCTGTTCGGCGAACACTGTTCCAGTTATTGTTTCTAATTCACAGATGTAAAAAGCTGAACCAGTGACCTGGAAGCATTACATTTTCCAAATCGTGAGGATGGGTTTTTGCAGTGCCCCACGTACTAGGAAGTAACCGGCAGTGTGCTGGCAGTGCTTGATAGCAGACTGCCTTCTGCTACAGTTGCCCTAACTCTCAGCCCTCTCAACTGTTGTTAAAAACCAAGTAAATTGTGCTGTTAACTCTTAAAAACATGGTACTAAAGAATGAATGGAATGGGTAGAGTTGACTGCCTTCTGCTTATCTTCAGCTGCTGCCCGCTAGTGACTGCTGATGTTAAACTTCCTAAAAGTGAACTTCTCTCCACAGCTGATAGGGATTCAGGATGGGTATCTCTCCCTGCTGACAGAAAGCGGTGAAGTTCGTGAGGATCTGAAGTTGCCAGAAGGGGATCTTGGCAAAGAAATAGAAGGAAAATTCAATGCCAATGAAGATGTGCAGGTAAGTATAGAGGGCAGACAGGAAGACTTACGGTTAATCCCACTTGGTTGTACAATGAAGAAGTCTTATTCTGACATTGACCACTTGGATCTCTCTGTGAAGAGCGGGAATTGGTCCTTTTGAGATGCAGAAGGACTTTTCGTACTGGAGCACTCAATATGGCACTGAAGCCTGGCTCAGTTGGCAGTAAGGCGATATGGCTGTCTCTCAAATGTCTAGGCAAATCCTAACGGTGCTGTCTGCACAGTGTGGATCGGAGCCTCCAGGTGTTCTTAATCGGGACCAAGTGCAGAGTTTTGCGAGTTAGTCAGAGCAATCTTAATTCGCTACATTAGCAAACCCATCTGCAAGTAGCTCTGCAGACTGTAGCCTATACTGTGCCACACCAGTTGCTAGTTTGGCTCTGTTGCAGGAGCTTGCTCATCTTCCTCTCTCGTACGAACCTCAAGCTGCCAGCCTAGGCAATAGGGCAGAGAGGAGGCAGCTGAAGAGCAAATGGGTGGGAAGGGCAGAGGGGAAATTCCTCTAATGAATGAATTTTACCAGCTGTAGCTTGCTTTTTTCTTCTCAAGAGGGATGGGATAGATACTAAAACATGTAACTTCCAGGAGTGCTTCCTCTGGCATGAGTTGGAGCTCACCTACCTGTCTTTTCTTCCAGATATCCGTCATAAGTGCAATGAATGAAGAATGTGCTGTAGCCATAAAGCCTTGCAAATAAAGAGGATCGCCAGGCTCGGGCAACTGCTCAGGTCTGGACAAACCACAGATCTATAAATTTGGTTCTTATTGTCACCAAAGCTCTGGCCTTCACAAGCAACCTCATTTCTTTTTTGAATTGTTAAAAAGCAGTGCTGGATTCTGGATTAGTGTTGCAGGCTAACTGGCAGTTTTCAAAATCACTGAGATTTTAATTCCTTAATTGTAACTATTTTAACATTCCTGTGGGTTTCAGCTATGGATCTAAGAAACCAATCAGGTGTTACTAGTGGATATATTTTTATTTGCTTGAGCAAAACAGTGTTTGTCTGTATGAACAGACAAAATACAGTATTCAGGGGCTTTTAGATAAGCTGGTAGGTTATCTAGGATTATAAAGTGACCTAGAGCACAAATAGTATTTTTCTTGACATGTTTAGGTAGAACTGACAATAAAAGTAGCAATTTTTTTTTTTTTTTTTTAAAAGCTTAAGTATTTTGTGGATTGGGACTCTTGCAGAACTGTAGGTGCCAATCGCAACTTTTAGACCAAGAAACTCAAGTGATCAAAAATGCCAGCTGGCTTGACCAAGCCCCAGTGGCCATGTGCAACTTAACTGTATTACCTCTGTATTCTTCTTTGCCAACTTGTTGGCTTATTGTAATGATAAAATGGTGTCAAAGCCTACCTGTGGTTTAGGCAGGCAGTTGGAATATTGGGTAGATGAGACATAGACAGGTCAAGGGGACACAAAGGTGAGAATGGATGTTAAAGCTATAGACTTTCACTCGAGGCCTTTGTCAGACTTGAAAAATAAAATAGAAAAATGCAGTTCAATTGCTTTCCTTTATTGTATTTATCTTAAACTATAAAAGGGTGACAAACTCCATGGGAATCTGTTGCAGTGCTTCCAGCTTTAGGTTTTAATCTTCAGGTTCAGACCATATTTTTGTAGCACAGGGACCACATGTTTTTCAAAAAGTGGGACAAACTGTAGCATTAAGCCTAAACTAAATGCATGTGATTCTTTTTAGAAAAAAAAAAAACTATTGTATTTTCAAAATATAGACTTGACAGACGATACTGAACAACCATGGCTTAACTATAAAAGTAAATAAATTGCTCCATAGTTATGAAAGCTAGCTCCTCTCCAAGGGAGTTCCGAGTCGTTGAAACACGCATGCATGCCTCTAACTATTTAGTAGCTTAACAGGCAAACACAAGGCTTCACAGAACTAGTCGAGCAAGGATAACTAGCCGGCTCCTGTTTAAGGCGTTCAACTTGAATTCTAAGACTTGGTGACTCTTCATGAGTGGGAAACTTCCTTAGTCCGTGGCTCAGGCCTCTCCACAGTTGTTACATGGTTTCATGAACTCGCCTTAAGCTTTGGTGGCTGTTGGCTAATGGAGGACAGCTTGTAAAGACGCGGCCTGCTGCCTGGGACAGCGTGCACAATTCACACTCTGCTGGCAGCGAGAGGCAGACTTTGCGCTGCCGTTAACTGCTTAAAATGTTTTCAGCTTAATAGTACGTACTGTCAAATCCCCAAAGGGCTCATGGCGACTGTCCTGAACCGCCCTTGTACATACTGTGGCAGGGTTTAGTAGATCTTGGAGGTCTAACGTGGGTGGCAAAAACCACACGTTTTCCATAGACTTCTCATGACAGGGAGAGCAGTACAGCGAGGGTAAAGACAGCAATAAATATACTCTGGTAATAAAGCACAGTTACCTGGGACACCTAGCAGAAGTAGGATACTGCCACGCGCTCTTGCTTAGCACAATACGCGTTGCAGGTGAGCTCTGTAAATAGTACCTTGACCGAAATGGCAAAACCACTTTTAAAATAACAACAACAACAAAAAGCTGTAGATGCAAGAGATTGAAGTGCATTCAGAACAGTTGTGAAGTGCATGCTAGTCTGCGCTACGCTCCTTTCTGCCTCTCCATCGAACTGGTACCCGAAAGACAGGCCTTGTTGGCTTTGGAGGTGACTGTGAATCTATTGATGATGGTCTTGACAGCAAGCTGAGCTGTGTGATGTCAAATGAGAAGTCATAGGTTGCTATGTCAAACTAATGCAAGTTCTAATGCTATCACGGCATTACGAATACTTCTAATAGGCTTGAAAACTGCAAGACTTGGATTTGTCCTTGTTCTGGTAGTGCTTTAGTCTACTTTCAGATGCCTGTCTGCCCTCTAAGAACTTGGAAGACAGGTATTTGATGCCACTGGCACACAATCTTGGCATTTACTTAGACTATAAGCTCTCTCGGATGAGGGCTGATTTTTGTCCTGTTCCTGAGTTTTCAGGTACTACAGCAATCTAAAGACAGAGCTCTTATGACCTCCAGCTTGCTGGAAGAGCCCTCCTTGGGACATACAGATGTCCTTCTTTTGCAACCTTCAGTTCTGCAAGATTTAAGTGATTAAGTACTTCATTATAGGTTTGTTCTTATATACTTGGTTGTCTTTGTGAAGCACTTCGAACACTATGGAAGTGCAGAGCATTGGCTCGTCATGCATGAAGTTTCCCATAGGTAATACGTAAGCATGAGTCTTAAGCATAATCTCCAAGTTTCAGTAAGGTTAAAAGTTGCTTCTAAATTAGAACACGTATTTGAGGCTTTTTTTTTTTTCCAAAGTAAGATGTTTCAGTTTACTGTCAGAACTGTTTGCAACAAACTTTGTGATCAATAGTCTGCATAGATGCGCGTTTTTAAGATCCCTAACCAAAAGCTTAGGGAAATTCTCCTTTTCATAGCTTTACTTCAAAACGAATCTTACCAATGTACTTGTTCTGTAGTACTGTCTTAACACTTTAAATTGTGTCAAAAGCAGAAACTATAAACTTCGAATAGCTTGATGCAATTGCTTAGAGTAAAGGCTGTGAAAGCTAGGAGGTGAAGAAAAGTATTTCCACTCCAGATAATGCTTTTTTTTTTTTTTTTTTTGCTCCGATTCATTGAGTTTCTCTTACTACTTTACAGAATTGGAAAGACTGCAGTGTTTCCTGCCTCAAATGTTGGCAAATAATACTTTAAGATTTCAATAGATCCTTCTAATTTTTGCTTATAATGGTGGTTTTTCAACTAGGCTCTTGCTAGTTGAACCATGTTCTCAGGGCTGTTTTTTTTAAGAAGTTAGCTGAATTTCATTGTTTTAACGTAACTGCTCTCAAGCTTCTTGCAGGTTTTTCTAATCCACGATGTACCCAGAAATGGTGCAGTCTGTAGTTTCACAATACAGGTAATTTTACATAATCTGTAAAGAAGTCACATTTGTTGACAGTTCAAACTCTTACGGTTACTGCAGGTCAGTCTCACAGAATTCAAAATTCCCACTTATTCCCAAAATAAATCCCACTTTTTCTTTTTCTTTTTTTTTTATTTTGGTTGAGTAATTAGAATGTAGTTTGTTACAGTAGAACTAAACTTCAGGAAAAAAAAAAAAAAAAGACCTTGTTAAGGGTATTTTGAGTATCTCTCTTATTCGCTGAGGATGTTGATGAAGGCGTGGAGCCTGGAGGCGGTGTGGTGGGAGCGTGGTGGAGCGTTCGGCAGCTCAGCACGGTACGCCGAGAGCATCAGAAGCCTCTCCAAGCATCTGCACTCTGGCCCCTACGCTATTCGGGCACCCGAGGGTAACTTGGTGTGTGAACTTAAAACCGAAATGTTCGCTATGTCGCGCTGTATCGCAGAAAACCCCTCTTCTCGGTCGTCCCGTATATTGTAAGCGGTAACTTGTTGGGTGTGGCTTTCAGAACGTGGGGGACGGTGGAACGATGGCGGTGACTGCTGGTTACCCATTGTGGCAAAACCCAAACCCCGCGTCGCGGGCGCGGCAGCCCTCCTCGCCCTTCAAGCGCCTCTCTCTTTCGGAAGCTGTATTGCTGTTGACATTGTGCAAGTGATGGCGGGGGCTGGGGAAAAGATGTAAATGTGTGTTTTGCTCCAGAAATTCTGCAG